CTTTAATCTCTTAGACAAAATTTTACTCAAAATTTTATATAAGATGGCCACCAAGCAAATGGGCCTATAATCATCCAATCCCAATGGAGAATTAGTCTTAGGAACTAACGTCAGAAAAGTTGAAGTGAAAGCTTTGGATAACTTCGCCTTTCCATGAAAATCTTTGATGAAACGAGAAATGTCGTCCTTCAAAACATACCAAAATCTTCTAATGAACACAAAATGGAAACTGTCCTTAACCAAACAGGACAGTGGTCGGAAACGTCTTTAGCTCCAATAGATTTCCCAACAACACTCCATTCCGAAATCAAAGTTTCCAACATAAGAAACCGATCTAAACAACTCATGGACTTGTCTTCGCCGCTGAGCCAAGTAAAGGAATTACCCTTAAAAGGAAGGTCGATAAGGTTGGACTCCTCAAAAAATTATGAAAACTGAAGCACCTCCAAATTCCTATTAGCATGAACACTCCCTTCCCTTTCCTCTCCTTAGACTCGAACCAAAGGCTCATGATACCACTGTTAGGGGAGATTTTTCAACTAGAGGGCATTGAACATTGTGGAACTTTTCCTTTCTAGAGCAACACCTTTGTGAGAGACACATCACATACTCACCCAAAACCTTAAGGTGATAGGTGTATGAGTTCTCTCACTTATAAATGCTCAAGTCACCACATTTCTATCCAATGTGAGACTATTATCCACACTACTCACACTTGTTAATACTTAACAAACACCAGTCCCTGTTAGCAAACTTCTTCTTCGACTCAAGAATTATTTTCCACAAATTCCACTTCTTATCAATACAGCAGAGCGAATAAACATTTACAAGGTAATAAAGATTATCCTTCCAGGAAACTTTTAAACCAAGATAACCTTCACCCTTAAAATAAAAATGAATAACTTCCTTCTAAATTGATAGCAAAACTCCCAAGAAACCAGAAGATTCTGAATAAGACCATCCTACATTATGGTGAGGCCATAAACTATTAGCTAAAGATGCATCAACATATTTCAATTTCATTTCCTGAATAAAAAATACTTCCGTTTTACCTGACTCAATCAATCTACCAATTCTTATCCTCTTTGTACTATTTCCACCCCCTCTAATGTTCAAGGATCTTGTAATCTATAAAGCATATAAATACAAAATGTAAAAATATATACAAATAGGTGTTTGGTAATCTCTACAAAGACAAACTCAAAGGTATAAGAGTTAGAAGACAACCAAGTTTATGATTTTGATGCATTGTGAAGATGCAAATGAGGTGGGATCTTAGGGGGTCCAATTAGGATATGATGGTTGCCCCTATTTAAGTTTCTTCTATCAGGAGATTTGAAGATTGACATCTTCGTCTCGACGATATATGAGAGACTTAAATACAGAAGACGCAAACACATGACTCTGTGGGAAAAAGATGCCACAGGAGACAGACAACTGCTGTAGAAAATATTAGCAAAGGAAAAAGAAACTCCGCAGGGGACAAACAATAATAGATCCAACTGGGGAATGTAAAACTCCACAATAGATGAAAAAAAAAGTGCATAACCTCCATCTCCTCAATTTACTTCTTGTAATCCTTTCCCTTCTCCTTTGGAACTACCCCCAATCTCGAGATAGCTTTCCAAACTTTATCTCCGATATTAGATTCTATATTCTCCTAAAATCTAGCATTGTTTTTCCTTATATTGGAGTTGTACGATGAATCACAACATAAGTATTCCCCTCCCGAAAATTGGACCTCCTAATCTTGCCTTGAAATGTTACCCCCTCCAGAAGACGAGCGCGACGAAACTACAAGGGGATTGGAGCTAGGCTGAAGCAGAAGGTTTTTTTCGTGTTTATTCCAGCGACAAAATGAAATAGATTCACTCATAGACTTTGATCTAAGATTCTCCTTTCCCACTTCTGGACTGGGCCTAATAAGCTCATACCTGATTGCGACTTTCTATGTCTAATACAACTTAACTGCAAGTGCACAGTCTATCGTGTAGTAATAAAAGATATCGATCCCACAGGGACTCGTAATCAAACTAGTGTTCTCAGGAGTTACTATGTTTAGCTAGGTAGGTAATGTTTAAGGGAATAATTTTTGTCACTAAAGGGAACTAAAGACGTTACTTGAATTATAATTACGTGAATCGATATGCAGTAATTATGTTCTTCGGGGATTTGACAAGTTACCGGTGTATGAAATATTTTTCAGAATTTATTTAAGCAGAAAATAGTGATCTGAAGACTTTCGTCTCACGATGGTTGTTGACACTAGTCATAATTCTAAGGGGCAAATGTACGCTTTCGTGTCCCATTCGGGGTTAAAACTATTTTTTGGAAATCTCTAAGTTCTAATTCATTTTAAAGTGCTTTCGCTGTTATTAAAACAAATGCCTAGTGTTTACTATCTGGTCTTACCGCAGCTGTCACTTGTTGGTTCGTACCTTAATTAATTTCCCACTGTCGTGGCAAAACTACTTTTAAATAAGTTCTCGCTTTCGCGACGAACGTTTATTCAGTAAATAAATTTAAACACTCAGACCATAAACAATTTTTGAAAAGGAAGTTTTCAACCGGTTATTATCAAATCCCGTCTGAATTATTATTACATATCGATTACTCTGATTTAGCTAGACATGGATTTGGGAAAGGTAAAACATAAATAAAAACAATGAATAATAACATGCATCATAGAGAAAACTGAAATTACGATTAAAATTTAGAACCTGTAAATATTCCAATTGGCCTTTGGGCAGATCCTCCACAAATGTTGGCAGGATTCTGGTCTTTGTGCCAATTGATTGTACAAGGGAAATGGGAATTACAAAGTATCAAATAATGCAGAGAAAGAAAAGAGAAACAAATAAGAATAGAAAAAATGGAAAGGTTGCTCTGAAGATGAATTGGCAGCACTTCATTGTCTGAATGCGGCTCCCTTTCTCAGCTCCCCTCCTTCCCCTTTTATAGAAATAGAATTCTAACGGTTGTAATTTGAAGAAGGTGGACTTAGAGGCAGAAATATCAGGGAGTAGTGATCCATTATTTGGGACTTGGAACTGCATTTTGCACGTTCATTTGAAGTAGTGCGTTTTTGCCTGCATGACGGTCGTCACCCGTGTGACGGTCGTCACAGCAGCAAAATATGCATTCTGCATTTTTCATGTTGTTTTCATCTGGTTTTCGTCCATA